TACTTTAAAAATTCATAACTTTAAAACTACAACAGCTAAAAATATGATTTTGGTGTTATAATTCTGTTTAAAATTAGCTCTATTCAACTGTGCCATTGGTTTATTTTTTAAAAAATGTTTACATTTTTGACCAAAGTATCTAATGTTAAAAAAGGACAAACCAAGTCCTACTTTAAAAATTCATAACTTTAAAACTACAACAGCTAAAAATATGATTTTGGTGTTATAATTCTGTTTAAAATTAGCTCTATTCAACTGTGCCATTGGTTTATTTTTTAAAAAATGTTTACATTTTTGACCAAAGTATCTAATGTTAAAAAAGGACAAACCAAGTCCTACTTTAAAAATTCATAACTTTAAAACTACAACAGCTAAAAATATGATTTTGGTGTTATAATTCTGTTTAAAATTAGCTCTATTCAACTGTGCCATTGGTTTATTTTTTAAAAAATGTTTACATTTTTGACCAAAGTATCTAACTTGTGTACTCTTTCTTTCTTACTAATCTTACTTTCTATGCCACAGCAACTCTCCTGTTTAAATAGCACTTCAAACCAACATAACAGGATTTTTTCCATAACCAACGCTGAAGTGGTGGATTACCATATTTTGCATAATTCAAAAAGAAAACTTTAATCATATTCATAACCATGCCGTGCCAATGTTCTTGATTGTTTACAGATCGATATCAGGAAATTTAGGCAGATCACTTCAGTAGTGTCTGCCTCTCCTATTAAAACGGGAAAGCAGGTAGCCAATGCACTTTTAAAAATACCGACTTGTAAATGTTTAGTTGATTTTTACCTTTGCAGACGAACTCATTATTGCTTTTCTCTTCTTTAAAAATATTATAAATAATTCAGCTGCACACTTTTCATTTTTCCGCGTTCTGGCGGCACGGAACCTAATTCTTAGTTGTCTCTCTTTGTGTTAAAGTTTTTAGAAAAAATGAAAAACAAAATAACCGTTTCAAATATGAAAAACGAAACAAATTTAAGAGCATTGGAAAGGAATTTTTTTTTGGGGGGGGGGAGGCTGTAACTAAAAATATTTAACAATAAATTAAAATGACCAACTGTTCTTAAATCCAACTATAAATATAGAGATTTTTTATCAGTGCCAAATTTTTGAATTACGTGAACTATATATATAAGTGCTTATATAGAAATTTAATTATTAATATAGGCATAGGCGTAAACTAAACTTAAAATATACTGACAACAGTAAATGAACTATGAACTGCTCATAAATTAAAATATACTGTTCATTGAACATCCAAGTAATGGTAGTAATTTTAAGTAATAATCAGTTACTGATTGTAAGAGCTTAATAATAAGTAACCCAGAGAACCATGGGAGTTGGGGAACTAGAGTGAGCTAAAAACATATTTTTGTCAGTGCCACTTTAAGTGGTAACGTTGGAATAGAAGTTCGAAGATGAATGGGCCCGTCATAGGTTGAACTTCTTTTTTTGTGTATTGATGGACAGCTTTTTTTAGAAAACTGCCGAGTTTTTTCCATGGCCAAGATCGGCAAAAAGCTTGGCCAGCCCCAGGCGACACTGCGCTACTGGTAACTCATAACAGTAAGGTCGATTGGAATAAACTATGGAATATTAATAATTAATATTGTATTATTTATTGTTTTAGAATTTTTTTATTTCATATTCCTTTTTGGGCTACAATCATGATTTCAATCATCTTGACTTGCCACTGGGGAAGCCATAAAGTCTTAAATCAGAATGCTGAGAGTTAGTAGACTCAAGTTATTATATATTATTACAGTGGTCTTAATCTTATATAGCGCGGTACACCAGCCTAGAACTGGGCTCACTGTGCAGCACATAAAAATATTAGCAAACATAATCATGAAATTAAAAAAATTACATTCATTTATTTAATTAAAAAACAGCTGAATATATATATATATATATATATATATATATATATATATATATGTATATACTTTCACCACGCAAACAAAAGAACCATTTAAATGTCAAGCCATGGATGGCACCCAAAGGCATCGTTTATCGGTCAGAGGGGGGAATCAGTCGGGATAGAAGTAGTAGAGTTTGAAGAGATTTACCTTGAGTGCTGTTTTGAAGACCTGGATGGTCCGTATATTGCGGATGTGAAGTGGGAGAGAATTCCGTTGTTTGGGGACGCAGAAAGAGTAAGATCATTTACTGTATTTTTTAGTGCGTGTCTTGGAAACAGAAAGAATACGCGTGTCTACGGAGGAGCGAAGGGGTCACTAGACAGAAATAAGTTCGGATAGGAAGGGCAGGAATCCAAGTAAAAGTTGTGGCAGAGATCAGAGAGTTTGTAGTGAATGCATGCTTGTAAAGGGAGCCAATGCAGTGAGTGGAGTAGTGGAGTAATGGACAAAATATTTAAAGATGTTACGTTATTTGTGTTTCGTGTCTATGTGTTTTTTCTACAATAAAATTATTATCACACATTTTTTTCAAGAAATATTTCAAATGATTTTTATTTTCATGGAATAAAAAAACAAGCGTTTCAATTATGCAAAGTCTGAGGGTTTTGGAAATGCATACATGTCTTATATTAATACAAAGAACCCTAGTGTATGTTTAGCATGCAAGTTACATGTTGAATATTGACATTCTGTCAATGATGTCTCTTTGATATTCTGTAGAGAAAATTTGGGTACTGTAAAAGAAGTTCCTCACAAACACGACAGAGACACAAAACTTTTTCATCATTCAATTTCATTGTAAGTAAATGAAAATAAAAACATTTTGATGTAGTTACTTCACTTTAATAATAGTTTTTGTTTCATGTTAAAACATTACAAAAGAGGAAGGGTTTTCGAATGAAACAATTTATGGACAATGGGCCATTTTAATCACACCATAGCACTGTATTAATGGCGTGTTAATAAGATAAAAAGATTTCACTACAAACTACAGCACATTATACATGTCACATGCAAATATTTCTCTGTTCAAATATTTCAATCACAACATCCTAGCAATCATTCAATCAAGACAAAATTCATATTGTGAAAGCAAACTGTGTGTTTTGAACCGGGGAAAATATTTTAAATGAGCCGCATCAACTAAACAAAATTGAACTAGGAACAGGAAAGTCTGTATTGGTTTTTAACATCTCGGCAATTCATAAAACAAAGCATGGGCATATCACAATTTGGAAAATTAATATTCTTAAACTTTTAGCGTGAAACCTAAATTTCTTTTTTATATAATCTAATTAAAATCATTTGTATAAGAATGAAACCATTCCTGGACACCCAGTAAGCCAGCTCATAATTGTTTAATTTATAGGTGAGGAAAAATAAGCTAAGATATGCACAAACAAAAATGGTTAATGCAGCGGTTCTCAACCTTTGGGTCGCGACCCCTTTGGGGGTCGCACAACTCTTTCACAGGGGTCGCCTAAGACCATCTGAAGACACATATACTATACTGTTATATCGTATCAACGAAAATATTTTTGTTGTTGGGGGTCGCCACAACATTTAGAAACTGTTTTAAAGGGTCGCGGCATTAGAAAGGTTGAGAACCACTGGGTTAATGAATGTGAATACCAATTTTTTGTTTTTTCAAATTCTATTGAGTTTTAGGAATATATTTCCCTAAAAAAAAGAGAGATTGTCGATAGTGAAATAAGATAATTCCCCTCAAGGAGTTAAGGTATCCATGGCATTGAAATATTAAAAAGAATCAAATAAAGCCATATTATTTTAAGTGACATTAATTGATATGGTACAAAAAAATGATAACATGTTGATAGAACTTTTTTAGAAATGATACATGGGTGCACAAATCTAAAAGTTAATAATATAAAGATATTTTTGAAAGTGGACAAGCATTTGTAAAAAAAGCACACCCAGAAAAAATGATTTTACCATTACAGAGTGTGAGACTCTTTTAAGTAGTTAATAAAATAGGTAACAATTCACACTACCATTTCACCACAATGCCCCTGCTAACCTCAGGAGATTTTTAAAAAGCCTTTAAAATAAAATGTTTCTCCAGATGAATCTTACAATAGGATGTCAACAATAATTTAAACCTGTATTGTTTTTGCTTTTTGTAAACTTTTAACCTGTTTGGTGTGCATATTTTATTGAACATACAAGCCAACAGATTTATTGTTTTAAATTTAGTTTGTTGTTTTAAATTTAGTTTGTTGGCGCTTGTTTAGTTACTTTTTAATAATCAATATGAACTGATCATAAAGCACAATTAGTGGAAATCTATTAAATATTATCTTTACAGTTTTCAATTTGAGTTGACAGTTCTACTACTGGTACTACTAGTTGTCTTGAAATGTATTCACAAGGTATCAAGTTGTGAGTTAATGGAAGACAGTGATATATATAATATACTGAAATATTTCTCACACATTTTCATATTTTTAAACAATGTTAATGGAAGAAAATCAGCATGACTGCAAAATAGTCATGTAATATCCCGACACTGTTTCTACCGATAATTTTTTGGGTCTTTGTCTAGCCAAGCAATAAGGGGATTTTTGGGATACTTGATTATGCCCAGCAAATCCACATATCTTTATTTTAATATGAAGATGCTTGCACCATTATCTATTGACTTCAAACAGAGAAGTGAAGTAAAAAGAATTTATAAGCATCACCACTAAATATTTACTTCAAATATCCTAGATCGTGCTTTTAAAAAGAACAAAACATGAAAATAAAATGAGATTTGACTAGCGCATGTTAGAAACCCCAAGCTACAAACTTGAAATAGAATTAAAGCTTCATTACACAAATTTCAAATTTATTGCAAAGTTTATTATGTCTCATGTCATCCTAACTGAAGCTATTCAGGTAGTACACTAGATGAGTAGCAAACTGACAATTACGTTAAGATCAATTCTTAAATTAATAGAAACCAGCCATTAGAGGTGGCTGTTGACACAAATTTTTGTTATTTCTGCTGAGAACTGTAAAAAAATTTAATGTGAATGGTTTTTTATGGTCCTGAATATTAATCACTTGTTTTGACCAATCCTATGTCTTTCAGGTATGATGTGGTCACAATAAACTGGTGTAGTTTTCCTTTTCTTAAATTATGGCATTGTTCCCAGGGTTCTCCAGTTTTTAATACTACTCAATAAAGTAAACAATTTTCTTTTAGATTCTCATGGTCTTTTATAGCAGCAATTAATCTCAATGTTATTTACCCCTATAGGTAAATCACTTGATGAGTAACAATCATTGTTACACAAATACAGCTCCAAAACTTTGGAAATTTTGTTAACGTTTAATTGACAAATTACTCAAAATATACAACTAAAAGACATTCTTCAATTTGAAAGACATGAAATGCTGGCTTTTTTTTAAATAGAATGCTTAAAAAGAACTTACTAAATTTTAAAAATTGAAACAAAAAATGTGTTCTCTTCAAGAAGTTATTTATTTTTTTTCTTCAAACTAAAGATAATTTTTACTGTAAAAGATATATTACACTGAAATCAACATGGTTTAAAAAAACAAAACAGTACATATCAATAAAAAAGAAATGTATAATAAGTTATTATGTTTCTTCTAACTAAAAAAATAACAAATAAAACCTTATGTCGAATAAAAAGCTGATGTATAACAAATGTTAACTATAAAGTTTGTGTCAAGAGTCACACACATAATCAAAATACCGTATGTACAAGCAACAGCTATGCCTTAATTTGATTATCGGCAACACATGTGCAAGTAGTAGCCAGCTTGCATTCACAAACATACGCACACCAGCACTTAAATACATATTCACATAATGCGCTGCATGCACTCACCAAAAAAATCATATGTACACAGTGGTGAGTCTGTATCCCAGGTACTCAACTACATCTTAAAATGGTTTCAACAGAACTAGAGCATTCCCCCCTGACCCTAACAACATTTTACCATTATGCTATAAAAATTAAGGAGAGCTGCTTCTTTCATACCACTGCTTTGGTAGGCACTCAGACAATTGTTTATAATAAAATCTTTATCTTTTGGTTTTGAAACTCACTGTAGTATACATTTATTAAATCACATGTGCCTAAAGGGAGCTTTCATTGATCTAATAAGTCCATTTTCTATTTAATCTTATGAAATAAATATCTTCAGAAGATATTGTGACATTTGACAATAAAGTAAAGCCATCTCCCTGATTGCAGTGAGTCACATTCAGTTTGTTTTATCAGCCTTTCATTTTAAAAAAAAAATGAAATTTTAAGAAGCTGTTAATAAAAAAACTACTATGTTATCCTGTCAGAACATGGACTTGTTTTACAGTGGCGAGATGTAGCTTTGTTTCACCTTTAAAGAACAAAGTGTACATAGAAAATTATAATCTTTCCACACTAGGAAATATTTTTTAAAATCCTTATAAATCTCTTAATATCGTCTGTTTATGAACATTTCTTTGGCCATTTTAAAGAATGTTTCATGATTCCGTTTAATAATTAAAAGAATTATTTATTTATCAATGCAAAACACAAGCTAACTACTACTACTAATTTTTTAATCTTGATATGATAGAGTTTAACCTCTTTCTTGAATTACTTTCATAGAAAATTTGTCATAACTTGTCTCTTTAACACTTTTAGACACAATAATGTAAAATGTCTAAATTTCTGATTTTTTTTTTTCAGGAAAATTTAAAAAAAAAATTTAATTTAGAAATTTTACATTGAAAGATGTGAAATGGAGCCGATTTAAAATCAGAGATTAATTCGCTTTGGTATTCAGTTAATTCGGAGTAAAATTACAAATTATAAAATCCTAATTTTAAAATAAAAACAGAAATCTATTTTCTGTGGAAAAAACATATTTTAAAGATAAATTATTTACCTTTAAATTACCTTTTAAAAAAACAACACGGACCCTTCATTAAGGTTTATAGAAAGCTATTTGTGATCCTATTTTTCAAACTAAACCTGTTTGTTAAGAATACAGACAAATTATAATAACAAACCAGAAATTAAAAAGTTGAAACAGGGGGGCATGACAATCCCTACAACAAACGAGTTACAAATTATTGGTTATACTACTGTACTTCTGCTACTGTTTATCACTGGTTTTGCATATTCTACAAAGTCATCGATTAAAACTGGCCAGGCTCCTGAAAAGACAAAAAAAGTAAATTTCAGAATAGGAAAAGTAGAGCTAAATAAGTGCAGTTAAGAGAATAACAATAACAGATATCTTTTAAACTTATACTTTATCAAACAAATTGAAAAGTTTAATTTCTGTAGAAAAAAGAAAAACATATTCCATCAAAGTATTTCAATAAGGGTTTCCCAAACTTTTCTATATTCTTCATAATCTATGAATTATTTTGCTTGATTTTACAGTGCCCCACAAAAGTAATAATGAATTTATAAAATAATTGTAGAAAAAAATTAATTAATATTTTAAATTGCATTACAAGGAGAACTGTAGAACTTATAGAAAATAAACTTGTGACTCATAAGAAAAAATAAATTTTCATTATAACTTTATAAAGTCATTGGCTTCTCAGCTCTTACATCATTTTTTTGTTTGTTTGCACACCATGAAATTCTACCACACACCATCTGAAGGTATGAGCACCCCAGTTTGGGAAACCCTGATTTAATAATCTATCAGGTTGTCCACACTAAAATTTAAGGTAGAATACCCTAGCTAAAAAACGTACCTTCCTCATCGTAATTACTCATGTCATCATTTATCATATTACAAAAATCGAGCAGAAGGTTCCATGTGTCTTTAGGGATCGACCGCTTGTGATTTTCCTGAAGTGATAAAATTGAAATGATCATTGACTATTTCCACATTAGAGACATCACATTAGAGACATGTCACTAGTCAGCATTAATTAAATACACCAAGAAAAATAACTAGTACTTTATTTTATTCTAAATTTAAAAAATAAAAATTATACAAATATTTCAGGTGTAATCTCTACCTTTTGAGACTTAAACTAATCCATTTTCTTACTATATCTGGGAGAAACCAGAGGTCAACTTTCATATCTACAATTTCCTGATAAAATGGCATACTTTTAACTGTGATTCAATGTAAGAGAAAAGTCCACAAACATATCTGGCCTGTTGTCACTGAAGGCCTACCAACTAACTTCTAGTCCGCCAGTGGTTTTAAACATATAGTGATATAGCACGGCTTCTATAATCTCTAAAGCAAATATCCATAAGTTTAGGTAAATCAATGCAGATTGGATTCATACATTGGGTCAAGCCTACTGGCAATGAGAAGCAAGAGGGAGAAATTATTAACGTTCTTTGAAAAAAGCAGTTTTTTGGTTAAATGTTTTGAAGATAACTTTTGGTCTGCAAAGGGTAAGGAGTGAAGTGAGAGTGTTAAAAGCCTGATGGTTTAGGACGTGAAAAGACTGGTTATACAAAAGGCTGTAATCAAGTTCAAACTTGATAGCTGTCTACCTACTTGAAGAAACTTGCACCATAAGTCCAGAAATTTAAATCTTCCTGTCAAGACAATATTCCAATAAGCAATTGCCATGTCCTGATCTGAAAAAACAAAATGCATATTTTGAGATGCTAATTGAACTTCAAAAAAAAACTACAACAGCGACACAACTAGTAAATAAGAGCTTTGTAAAAATAATTTCAGTTTATCCGGAAAATGAGGGAAAATAATAACCCAATGTTGACAAAAAGTTTCAAAGCCCCTCATGAATAACCAACCCACCTCAGCAATAATTAAATTGAACACTATTAATATAAAATAGCCGTTGCTATCAAGCAGCTCAAAATAAGGAAAGCATCAGGACCAGATAACATCACAGTAGACATAGATATGATAGTCAACATGCTGCACCATCTGTTTGAAAAGATATGGGAAGAAGAGATACTTCCATAAGATTGTAAAGCAGAATGCCTCGTCAAGATACCAAAGAAAGGGAATCTCAGGTACTGTGAAAACTTCAGAGGAATTACACTAATGTCTATACCAGAAAAGGACTTTAACAGAATTATTTTAAATAGATTGAAGGACCAGGTCGACTCACAGCTATGAGATCAACAGGCTGGCTTTCACCAAAACAGATCACGCAAAGATCAAATTGCCTTTGATAGTCTGGACCGGCAAACCTTGTAGAGACTTCTCCAGCATTATGAGGTAACAGGAAAACTATTCAAGACCATCCAGAGTTCTTATGAAAAAATGACATGCAGGGTTGTACACAAAGGTAAACCAATCATCATCATCAATGGCACTACAGCCCATCCAGAGTTCTTATGAAAAAATGACATGCAGGGTTGTACACAAAGGTAAACCAATCATCATCATCAATGGCACTACAGCCCATGTAGGGCCCTGGCCTGCTCCACCACATCCTTCCATTCGGAGCGATCCATGGCTTTCCGTCTCCATGCTCGAACCCCCAACTGGTGTCTCCACATCATCAATCCACCTCATCCTTGGGCGACCGATGAGTCGTCTGCCCCTAGGCTTCTGCCTGTATATAATTTTGGCTGCTCTGCATTCCGGCATCCTTTCAACATGACCAGCCCAGCGTATTCTGCCTTTTTTTATCATTGTGACTATGGGTGGTTCTTTGTACAAATAGTAAAGTTCTTGGTTTGTACGTATTCTCCAGATATCATTTTCTATCACTGGTCCATATATTTTGCGGAGGATTTTCCTCTCCCATGTGTTGAGCATGTTCTCTGCTTTTCTGGTGAGGGTCCAGGTCTCACTAGCGTACGTTACTACAGGTCTTATGATGGTGGTGTATATTGTCTTCTTTGTTCCCCTTGATAAGTTTTTGTTTCCCAGTAGCTTTTGTAGGCTGAAATAGGAATGGTTGCCTGCTGTTATCCTTTCTTTCACCTCTGACATTATCTCATTGTGCTCATTTATAGTTGCCCCTAGATATTTGAATGTGTCCACTCTCTCAAATTTGTGGTTGTTTATATTGATGTTATCATCAGCATGGGAGTTTCTTGACATTATCATATATTTTGTCTTCGGTTCATTTATATCAAGGCCAGCTTTGAATGAGGCATTTTCAAGTTCCCTGAATGCTTTAATTATGTCATTACGGTTTCTACCCAGTAGTGCTATATCATCTGCATATGCTAGGTACTGCAATGGTTGGCTATATAAGGTTCCTGATGGTCGTTGCTCTGTAGTATCTCTCTGGAAATAGTTTGTTATGGTTCCACTGGTGCTAATGTGAATGCTTCTAATAACTTTTTCTAGCGTGATGTTGAACAGGATACATGATAGTGAGTCTCCTTGTCTGAGGCCCCGATTAACTATGAACTCCCTAGAATATTCTCCCTGAACCTTGATTCTGCTTTTGGAGTTGGCCATTGTCATGTGTATGAGCCGAGTAAGCTTGTTAGGGACTCCAAGTTCTTGTAAAGCATTGTATAAGTAATTCCTGTTTACACTATCGTATGCTGTTTTGTAATCCACATATAGTTGGTGTATGTCGATGTTATATTCGTAGCATTTCTTTTCTTGTAAAGCATTGTATAAGTAATTCCTGTTTACACTATCGTATGCTGTTTTGTAATCCACATATAGTTGGTGTATGTCGATGTTATATTCGTAGCATTTCTCCAGGAGACATCTTATAGTAAAAATATGATCCGTGGTTGACCTATTCTGCCTGAATCCACATTGATAGTCCCCTAGGATCTGTTCACTGTACTTTTCCAATTTTCTCGCTATAAGTTTTGTGAGGATTTTGTACATTACATTAAGAAGGGAGATACCTCTATAGTTTGAGCATATCAACTTAGATCCCTTTTTGTGGATTGGGATTATGAGTGCCGTGTCCCATTCAGTTGGCATTTCTTCCTCCTGCCAGATTCTGGTTATAAGTTCGTGTATTTGCCTATGCAGTTCGCTACCACCTAGCTTTATGAGTTCTGCAGGGATAAGGTCTATTCCTGGGGCTTTGTAATTTTTCATGGTGGAGATTACATCTTTTATTTCATTTAAAGTTGGTTGGTTGACCAGTGGGTCCGGTCCTCCTTGTGGCGGGGCGTAATCCTCATTGGTTCCTACACCTGAGCCATTCAGTAAGCCTTCAAAGTGTTGTGCCCATCTCTCTAGTACTCTACTACTTTCTGTGATCAATTCTCCATCTGTGCTTTCACACATGTGGGATCTTGCTTGAAAGCCATTCTTTTCCTGCTTTATCTTCAGGTACATTCCCCTCACATCTCTTTCTTTTGCCAACTCTTCTATCTCTACTATTTTTTATTTTTCCCAAACACATTTTTTCTTTCTGCAAATTTTGCTGGCCACCCTTCTTGCTTCATTATATAATTGTCGTGTTCTTCTTGTCTCCCTTTGCAGCATCATTAGCCGAGCTTTGTTTCTTTGTTCTATAAGTTCTTTGCATTCTGCGTCATACCATCCTGTTCTTTTCACTGCTGGTTTAAATCCAATCGTTTCCTCTGTTACACTTATGACTATTTGCTTCATCTTTTCCCATTGCTGGTTTATATCAACATTGCTGGCTGATTCTCTTCTGGATAATTCTAGTAGAGTTTCTATCTTCTGTTGATATTCCTCAGTAATTTTTGGGTCCCTACTCAGTTCCTGACTATTGTACTGTTTTTCTCTTTTATTTTGTCTATTGTGGATGTTACAAATTCTTTGCTTATATTTGATTCTAAAGGTAAACCCACAGATGCTTTTAAAGTGGAAACAGGAGTCAGACAAGGATGTCTCTTGAATTCATTTCTATTCATCCTTGCCATTGACTGGATAATTAAAAAAATCCAAAGACAAAAAGAGGAATGGGATACAGTGGACCCCTTTGGAAAAACTGAATGACCTAGACTCCTCAGATGACATTTTAAATTTCAGCACAGCTCGGACTCAATATAAATAAAAACAAGACAATGGTCATGAAGGTAACAAGAGCATATCTCTCAGGCAGGAAATGGACTGGAAGAAGTGGAGGCTTTCAAATCCTTAGGCAGTGCCATTGACATAAATGGTGGACCCGAAGCGGATGTAGGGCTAGGTTGGCATTTGTGCCATTAAAGAAAATACGGGAAGGAGCTGACTCTGCAAACCAAAGTCAGAATTTTCAACTCAAATGTCAAAACAGTCCTACTCTATGGAGCCAAAACTTGGAGAGCAATAGTGAGCATCATAAAGAAAGTACAGACCTTTGTAAACACTTGCCTTAGAAAGATTCAGAACATCAAATGGCCAAATACAGTCACCAACAAAGACTAAACTGGAAACAAATACCAGGAACTTATTGCTGAAGACATCATAAAGAAAAGATGGAGGTGGATAGAGAACACTCTTCATAAGATAAGATAAGATTCTTTTATTGATTCAAACAAATGGAAATGGTTTTAGATTGCATTGTACATTTTCAACACATAAAGAAAACAATTTGCACTCAAGACATTTACATTAAATTATTTCACTAGTGAAAAAACAGCCATTCAGTGATTTCTCTTAGCCATATCAGGGACTTATTAGTTCTCATTAAGATTTGTCACCCCCAGATAATATAACCAGACAATCCCTAACATGGAACCCATAGGGAAAAAAGAAAGAGACGAAGGCCTAAGAATACATGGAAACACAAGCTAGAGGCAGAGACATAAAGTATGGGATAAACCTGGAAGCAAAACCACAGGACTGAGATAAATGCAACATTCTTTTGGGCGGTCTATCCCCCAAACTGGGTAAAAGGCATATGTAAGTCAGTAATGAAAAAATAAGAATTGTTATAACCAAGTGCTTTTCAAACACAAAGTAATGAAATTACTAATAATTAGCTAATACTAATACACATACCTAGGCCTTTCTGTTCTGGATTTTTTGCGTAATTGAAAGTAAACTGGTAGAAGTCTTTAAAACTGTTTGAATCTCTTATCTCTTGCTCTAATGTGTTGCATTTTGCACGAAGTTTGTCTATAGAATCAGCTCTGTGAAAGGAGAATGAATGGATTATATTAAGTGAAGTATTAAAGAAATGTTGTTTTTTTTGTACCGGTACCAGCAGTTCCAAATTTAAAATTATTTATTTTATTTCTCATTGAACAGCACTAAAAATTTCTTTTAAAATATAGTTGTCAGTAAAATCATTCCCTCAATTTTTTATACTCACCCCATTTCCATCATACCAGTTACAAATTCGTCTTTAGTAAATTCGCATTGAGTCTTAGCTTTGAACTTCCAAGCAAGTATAAGAACTGTTCTTGATTCAGGATTTAATTGTAGATCTTCCAAATAACGCATTACCCCGTCAACAGTCATCTTTTCATCATCTCCCGGGTCTAAAGAAACAGAAAACTGAAAGAATAAGCTATAAGGGAATATTAACTTAATAAATAAAAAATCTTTGAGCTGGGCTTCATTCAAACTTCAAACATTTAAATGGATTCCTTGCAATGAGGTAGAGATAAGACATATAAACAAATCACCAATAATATTTTTAAATTGGCAAATATTTCTTGAAATTATTGCTTTTAAAAACTATATCCATTAATTTTGTATGGTATAATCACCCAGTGACAATTTCTTAAATTGAGACTTTCAAGATGGCACGTATTACATTTCATTTAGCTTAAGCATGGGTCCTCACACTATGGCCCGTAGACCACATCCTGCCCAGCCAAGAGTCCTTAACCCAGCCCACCTGTATGGTTACCCTGGTGGCAGTGAAAAATATGAAACCGAACACTGACTACCTTATTTTATAAAGGTAGGCACATACTTTATATTGAAATAGTAATAAATATATTTTGATTACAATTGCCCTTAATTTTAAATATTTTATGGCGTTTTTTCTCTCCAAATTTTCAATATAAATAAGATATGTGCAGTGTGCACCGGACTTTGTCCATATTTTATTCAAACTTATGTTGTACTTCCAACTAAATTATGCTTAAACTTAAGCATATAATAAAGGCATGTAAACAAGTGATAATTAATATTTTTTTTTACAAAAAAATTAAATAAACATGTTTGCAACTACAGACACTTCAGTAGAGCAATAGACTACTAAAAAATTAGTTCATGAAATGGGTGTCAGCACAGGAAAATCAGAGTTTTATTTTTTTTATGTTGTTGCTATGTCATTTAAAAAACAGAGTTATTAATAAGTTATTATGTCCCACAATGGTGTTCCTTTTCCATTCTTTCGCTTTGGAGGACATCTTTGCCTACATTTCAATCAATTTCTTTTTTCATTTACACTCAGTCAACTTTGAGAAAATCTTTGGCAAATATAAAGAAACTTTCATCATTAAGACTAAGTTGAATTTAAATATATGACCTTTTCATATTTACTATGTCTCTCGGGTATATATTGATCTAAATATGTGTGCCAATTTTCATAGTGCTATGTGTTTTACAGGAACCATGGTTCTATTATGGTTTCATCTTTGAGCAGTATATTATTTAGATCGCCATGCCTCAACTTTGCTTGGATGTGACCACGCCCCTTTTAAATGGGGGAAGATGATGATATTTAATAAATATTTAATTATTACCACAACTTATATGAAAACATTTGGATATATTGCATTTTAGAATGAAGATTGTGAATCTTAAGGCCTAAAAAAGGGCTTCTAATTTGAAATTAAATTTTCTTGACTGCAGCATGAAGACCCCCACTAATTTTTGTGCTGCGGTTTAGGCATTACAACATTTTATGTGATCAGATGGGACGTGATGAATGGGAAGCACTGTCAATAGTGTGTTAAAATTAGTCTTGTGGGCCCTGAACTTATTTTTCCCCCCATGTATCTATTTGGTTTGGTCCAATGAAATAATTACTTCACAAATATGTCACAGAATAATGTACGGTGGAGTTCAAGTTATCCAAGGCTAACCATTACTAATGTGATATCAAGAGATTGTAAACACAAAGCAACAGTGTGATGATAAATACATTTTTAAAGACTTTAAAGAATAATTAAATATTATTGATTTCACAGATCATTAGGTTACAGTTGGCTTTATTAGTTGTATTAGAGTGTCAGAAATTCAGGATAATTATTAAATATACGTTCTTTCTGTCGAACCATCCTCTCCTTCTCAAACTGCCATACACACCAGTATGCAAAAAATCCAAAATTAACAGCCCTTTCCTACAAATATGTAATCAATAGATGGACCCATATCATACTGATTTAGAAATTTAAATCTAGTGACTATGTGCTCCTTATAATCATTATATTTCCTGCCACTGTAAAGTGCTGGAAGTACCTACGTAAATCTGCACCATGGGAGGGGGGTGGAAGGGTGGAAAAGTGGTGTTTGTTATGCCGACATCTTTTGTGGACAACCTCTATCCAGAGTGGTTGCATGACTTGTGTAGGCCCCCACCACTTTTTATTTTTGTGCCCCATATTGTTAATAATTTTGTCCACATCACAACTTTGGTCCCCTATAATATATGAGGCCTCATGCAGCCGCAGGTGTTGCAGGGCCCAAACATAAGCTCTGCCCTTAACTCACCCCAGGCACAGATTGATTTCTTAACAAAAACGACTTGAAATATCACAAATTCTGTCCCACACGCATTGTGCAAGGGTTTCTGTGAGACAAAATTGTGTTTTACCATGTGAGTAGCACATGCCATGCCACTCTGGAAACAAAATAAGTCATGAACAGGGTTAATGCAGACCTTTTGCTTTACTATAATATAGTCTGCTACGAGACTAAGGATTCTCAATGAACCATTCATTGGTTTCACTGTAAAATACTTTTGGGAGCCTAAGGTATGTCTTATCTTAACACAGTTTGACAGCTCATGATGAGTTTTCAAGGTCAGTACATATTGTTCAAGTTTAATCCCTTAGTAATCTGAATGTAACATATAGTATTTAAAATATTTATACTAACAATTTTTCTTTAATAATTAAAATAATCCAAACCAATACTGTTACAAATTAACATAATAATTTAATTACAAAATATATTTTCAATAAAGATGGAATAAAATAATTGATCTAGTAAAATAGGCCTAGTACTAGTAAGGAAGGCTCCATCACTGTCATCAGCATTTGGAATCGATCATAAAATATGATTGATATCACCTAGCATACACCTACGCCTACACTCCCACAAGATCATATCTAATACTAATAGTAATAGTAATACTTAATAATAGCAATATCTTATGACACTGCCAAGGTGTATGCAGGCCTAGGTCCACGACTTTGCTAGGTACACCATTGCAGTTTACGCTGCTGCTTCGAATTTTTTTTTTTTTTTTACTGAAGCACCTAGCAATTATTAGTATTATTGTTGGCTGAGAAAATGGGAGGGGGGGGGATATCCCGGAGAGCCCATTTTATCATAATCCTACTTATGACTTAAGCATGAAGTTGGAAATACCCAATTAAAAATTGTAAAGTTATTCTAGTCTTGAGGCAGAGGTGGTAAAAGCAAAATGATTAATGCATGCCTTTGTATCGTTGCCAAAGAGCTTCTATTTTCCTCTTGTCAACAGAAGATTTTGATTCAGCAGTGTTATAACGGTCAGGGGCCATGAAATAGTTATCAACGGCCACATCAAGTTTCCAGTCATGAGCACACAAGCAGTTGATGGCAGTCTTCTCGCCAGTTTGAGTGAAGGCAACAAACTGCCGCACTTTGTCCTTCTGTGAACTTTTTAATCGTTGCTGTAATAATAGAAGATAAAGAGTAGTAATATTTTATGTCAAATTTAATCAAATCTACGTTATAATAAGAATAATAAATTTAGGAAAGAAGATGGTGACGAAATGATATCATAATAAAAGCGAACCATAATATTCTCACCATCTCTCGGATGTTTGCAAAGCTAAACTTTCCCTTCCTGTTTAAGTGTGCATGCGCAAAATATAGTGAGTGTAAAAACCGACTATAAATATTCAACAAAACAAAACATTATGTTGAACTTTTTTTTGATTTTCTAAAAATTTTTAAATCCAGAAATTTTGTATAACATAATTTTTTTAATTCTAAATCCACGTAATGACAAAACTAACAAGTTAACTGACATGGTTTATGTATTTGTTGGAAATTGTGGTTGTACAGATTAATCGATCGGCAAATAATCTGCAACTTTTCATTTTTCGAATAATTTTTAACTTATCGGTGACATAATATCAAGAATGCTATTGCTATTAATTAAATTAATATGTTGAATTTATGTAAATAACATTTGAAAACTATTAGTATGCTTCTATTTAATTTTATCAAATAAGGAATAAGAGTTGGGATTCAATAAGAGTTTGCACTCAGATATTTAACCCCTTCCTCCGCCATCCCCAATCACAGTTTATTGTTTGGTTTGGGGGGGGGGGGGCATCCATAAAGACGTCACGCGTAAAATATACTTAGAATCGCCCATTGTTATCTAATGACAGCTTTATTTCTCAGAATTTAGATAAATATAGCTTCCTTTCCTTAACACTTCATTCGGTGTTGAAATGGTCATTGGTCAAAAACGGTGTTTTTCTGGGTTACCGGAAATTTGTTTGAAAGAAATTTCTTCGAACGAAAATCGATCGACGGAAGTTTGATCGAACAGAAATTTGGTCGAATCTGTTTTTTTGTTGTTTTTTTTTTCAGTTCACACGATCAAATTTTCGTCATTTTTTTTTTAATTTTTTTTTTTGAACGCACCATACTAGATCTATATAGTAAAACAAAATAATGCGTTCAAAAAGAAATTTGACTCAAAATTAGATCGTGTGAACTAAAAATAAAATGATTGTACTGCTGATCAGAGGCTCATTGTACTCCAAGGCCGTCCTAACAGCAGCGAAGGATCTGGACACAGTAATGTACTGAGGCCCCCATGCCCTCTATATAATCAGCGCCGTGCAAAGGAGGGAACGAGAGGGCCAGTCACCCCTGTCGCCACTATTAAGACTTGTGGAGCCCCCTGAGGGAATGCTTTTAGCCCCGGCTTAGTGTCGTCCCAAAATCGTTATAATCCAACTACGTATACCAAATTAAAAGAAAATCATAATTTGACCGTTCAAAAAAATCATTTTATTTACCTACGTCTAACATTTTTTTTTTTTTAAGATTAAAATGTGTCGGTGCTGTCACTTTTATTTGGGAGGTAGAAGAGATCGAGGGCGCCGAATGAAATTGTGGGATAATGTCTGGAAAGAGGTCTCAGTAGACCCCTCCCCAGCAAAAATGTCTGATACATTCAAAATGGTGGGATGCATTTTGGCGCGTACGTGAATTGAGTTTTGCACAATTCTAAGCTTGACCGGCTACCAACAGCGAAGATGCCAGTTGAAATTTAGGTTTTCTTGACCAAGTGGGATCCCGACCCCAATGAGATCCTGATCTCGGTGGGATCACGCATAAAAAATGACCCAGTGATACGGAGAAAATCCATAGGAACGTATAGAAATTAATAGATATAATCTAACATTTTATTAAGCTTTTAGATGCTACTATATTGACCCGTGGAGCAATATAGAATTTTTTGGAACATTCTAGTTTAGATTTCATAACCTCCTGGAATCCTCTGAAAAATTACATTTCTACGTGATTATTTTTCGAATACGAAAAATTCTGCAACGAAGTGCCATAACTATAACCATTTGTCATTTAAGTTAAAGAGGCACCCTGTTCGGAGCCCATTCTATAAGGTATCGTTTTAGTTATGTTTGTGTGTGGGGGGGGGGGGGGGCTATAAAAAACATTGAGATAAAAAATAGAGTTAACATGAAAAATTTGTTCCATTTAAATTTTAAGTTAAAGAGGCACCCTGTTCGGAGCCCATTCTATAAGGTATCGTTTTAGTTATGTTTGTGTGTGGGGGGGGGGGGGGCTATACAAAACATTGAGATAAATAATAGAGTTAACATGCAAAATTTGTTCCATTTAAATCGGTTTAAAAATGCCATAGATATAACCTTTTAAATTATCGAACTTTCTGGAACATTCTAGACCGACCATGAATGGATTTGATATTATTAAGTTTAATGCACTGCTATTTCAATACGGACTATGAAGGTTATTGCTACGAAGCTAGGTCTAGATAAGTGGTTCTCAACCTTTCTAGTGCCGCCACCCCTTAATACTGTTTCTCGTGTCGTGGCGACCACCAAGCCACACAATTATTTTCGTTGCTACTTCATAGCTGTAAGGATATATGTTTTCAGATGGTCTTAGGCGACCCCTGGAAAAGGGTCCCGCGACCCGCCAGGTTGAGAACAGCTGGTCTAGAGTCATCAATACACACAGAGCCGACAGTGTTGTCAAAGCCTATTGATATTTATATAGCTCATATAAGGAAAAATGAAATGGGGTCACCGGCCCCAGAGAGATGGACAGTATGAGTTTATTACCCTTCGTTATTTGAATTTGGATAACCAAGTGGGTGTGTACTAAGTTTGGTCAAAATCCATCCATTCATGTAGGAGTATTTGTTGGTCATTTTATTTGTAGAGCTCCTACAAGAAAACAACGAATTTAGGGCCTCCGGTCCAAAATGGAGTATTATGAAAAGTTCAAAACCCCTCAGTGTTACATTTTTGCTAATGATGGATGTATGGGCCAAATTTGGTAAAGATCCATCAATTCATACAAAAGCCAGCCTTAGTTGTCTTGTAACTTAGTCTTGGAACCAAGGCCTGCCTTAGTTGTCTTGTAACTTAGTCTTGGAACCAAGGCCTGCCTCATTTGTCTTGTAGCTTAGTCTTGGAACCAAGGCATGCCTTAGTTGTCTTGTAGCTTAGGCTTGGAACCAAGGCCTGCCTTAGTTGTCTTGTAACTTAGGCTTGGAACCAAGGCCTGCCTTAGTTGTCTTGTAACTTAGTCTTGGAACCAAGGCCTGCCTTAGTTGTCTTGTCACTTATTCTTGGAATCAAGGCCTGCCTTAGTTGTCTTGTAACTTAGTCTTGGAACCAAGGCCTGCCTTAGTTGTCTTGTAACTTAGGCTTGGAACCAAGGTCTGCCTTAGTTGTTGCCTTAGTTGTCTTGTAACTTAGTCTTGGAACCAAGGCCTGCCTTAGTTGTCTTGGAACTTAGTCTTGGAACCAAGGCCTGCCTTAGTTGTCTTGTAACTTAGTCTTGGAACCAAGGCCTGCCTTAGTTGTCTTGTAACTTAGTCTTGGAACCAAGTCCTGCCTTAGTTGTCTTGTCACTTAGGCTTGGAACCAAGGCCTGCCTTAGTTGTCTTGTCACTTAGGCTTGGAACCAAGGCCTGCCTTAGTTGTCTTGTCACTTAGGCTTGGAACCAAGGCCTGCCTTAGTTGTCTTGTCACTTAGTCTTGGAACCAAGGCCAGCCTTAGTTGTCTTGTCACTTAGGCTTGGAACCAAGGCCAGCCTTAGTTGTCTTGTCACTTAGGCTTGGAACCAAGGCCTGCCTTAGTTGTCTTGTCACTTAGTCTTGGAACCAAGGCCAGCCTTAGTTGTCTTGTCACTTAGGCTTGGAACCAAGGCCAGCCTTAGTTGTCTTGTCACTTAGGCTTGGAACCAAGGCCTGCCTTAGTTGTCTTGTCACTTAGTCTTGGAACCAAGGCCAGCCTTAGTTGTCTTGTCACTTAGGCTTGGAACCAAGGCCAGCCTTAGTTGTCTTGTCACTTAGGCTTGGAACCAAGGCCTGCCTTAGTTGTCTTGTCACTTAGTCTTGGAACCAAGGCCAGCCTTAGTTGTCTTGTCACTTAGGCTTGGAACCAAGGCCAGCCTTAGTTGTCTTGTCACTTAGGCTTGGAACCAAGGCCTGCCTTAGTTGTCTTGTCACTTAGTCTTGGAACCAAGGCCAGCCTTAGTTGTCTTGTCACTTAGGCTTGGAACCAAGGCCAGCCTTAGTTGTCTTGTCACTTAGGCTTGGAACCAAGGCCTGCCTTAGTTGTCTTGTCACTTAGTCTTGGAACCAAGGCCAGCCTTAGTTGTCTTGTCACTTAGGCTTGGAACCAAGGCCAGCCTTAGTTGTCTTGTCACTTAGGCTTGGAACCAAGGCCTGCCTTAGTTGTCTTGTCACTTAGTCTTGGAACCAAGGCCAGCCTTAGTTGTCTTGTCACTTAGGCTTGGAACCAAGGCCAGCCTTAGTTGTCTTGTCACTTAGGCTTGGAACCAAGGCCTGCCTTAGTTGTCTTGTCACTTAGTCTTGGAACCAAGGCCAGCCTTAGTTGTCTTGTCACTTAGTCTTGGAACCAAGGCCTGCCTTAGTTGTCTTGTCACTTAGGCTTGGAACCAAGGCCTGCCTTAGTTGTCTTGTCACTTAGGCTTGGAACCAAGGCCTGCCTTAGTTGTCTTGTCACTTAGGCTTGGAACCAAGGCCTGCCTTAGTTGTCTTGTCACATAGTTTGGAATTAATACGGGGATGATAAACAACCTTTTGCTTTAACCTGGTGATGATGTACACTGACTAGCTGCAGCCCTTGACGGAATTTGGGAAGAGGAAGAAATATATACATATACATGTATATATAATGGTAATGAATTTTAGGGAAAACACGTATTAAGTCTTACTTAAGTAACCCTTTATTGCCTTACTTTACTTTGTGCGTAGCCCTAATTAACCTTGTGTATCAATGACTTTACTATGCCCTGTCGGGTCAAGTCCCCGATGTTGCTCCATTGCAGGGCACTTTGGTCAAAATGTATACACCCAGGCCTGGATGCACTGTTTAGAATTATTTAACGCTACATTTTCAATTGTTTGCCCGGGCTTCCGTATTTGTTGGCTAGAGAGAGAGAGAGAGAGTGAGAGAGAGAGAGAGAGAGTAAGAGAGAGAGAGAGAGAGAGAGAGAGAGAGAGAGAGAGAGAGAGAAAGAGAGAGAGTGAGAGAGAGAGAGAGAAATAGAAAGGGAGGGAGAGAAATAGAAAGGGAGGGAGAGAGACAGACAGG